TGCTAAGAAGGAATAATAGCAATGCCAACTTGTTGTTCGAACTGTCTCAGACCTTCAACGACCTAATGGCACATTAAAAAGGCACTCTTACACACACTTCCTGGAAGTTCTTTTTGTTTTCCACACTTTTGAGCTTATTAAAATAAAATTTTGCACACTTTTCATTTAGTTTATCTGCACATCTTTCCTTATTGAAACTTTAAGACTCATCCTGCTCTTAAGTGGCCCGAACAAACCGACCCCATTTACTAAGAATAGCGGCAAACAACGAAACAAAACACGACTACATTGCTTTTGTTGTCTGTTGATTGCGTTTTGTGTGCTTTTTGTATAGTACTGTCTCTTTGTGGGTGACTTTGTAGCTCATTTGTGTGCTTGACCGGAAGTTGTAATATCTTCGGATACGCCGCATTCAAATGTCCCTCTACCTCATCTGGACGGCCAAGTTCATGAGCATGCTGTGGCATTTAGTTGGCCTCCCAATTGGGAACACTTATTGGATAGCATTTAAACAAAAGTCGAACCATTTATTTTATTATTATTACTCTTTATGTTATTGTACTATCAATTTTAAATTAAACTTTTCTTTAGTAAATATTTCTTTAGATAGATTATCTAACTGACTGAGTCATCAAGTTTTATAGACTGGAGTATGATCTTATGGAAGTGTTTTATTTTCCCATCCGGCCAGATTTGCCTCTTTTCATCGTCATCCACAAGGAGGAATACATTTTTCGAAAAGTGCGAAAAACCCATCGATCGGATTATAAGCAAATAAGTTTCATACAAAGATAACTACAGTAAAATTCAGCTTCCTAGCTCTTACGGTATAAACTGTGCGATGATCGCCAATCAGTCAGTCAATCAGTAAGTCAATCAGTCATTCAGGACAGTTTTATATACATATAGAGATTAAGAAGCTTGAGCTAGCATTGAGCTAACAATTATTTAAATTAAATTTATTGCCAAGCATCGAACACATTATTATGTAATTATTTTGAAATAATTATGCGTAAATAAAAAGCAACAACATTAATCCACCCCAATAAAAAAACATTTATTTTCAAACAATTAAGCACACATACTCTTGCATGCTCATGCATATGGAAGTTAAGATAAAAATTAAAGCGCGGGAAATTCAAATAAAAACAATCGTAAAAATATAAATTAAACAATCATAAAATTGTAAATTTTGTTGCGCGAAAACGAGTACAAAATTGTCCACCAGGGAAAAATGTATACGAATCTGATCCCCCAGCCCCAAAACGGACGATACAGAGAGCCCTGTGTGCCTTACTGCGATGCCAAAAGTTATGGGAAAAGTTGCGATAAACAACTAGGTTGATAAGAGTTCCCAATAGGCAACTCTGCTTCTGGCACAGAGTTTAATTTATAACAATATTTGCATTGCTGCGCCAAAATGTTACCCGAAACTCTGACACTTGAATACCGGCCAATACTTTGGCATTCAGCCAGCATAAGAAAAATAGGAATCAATGTACCAGCAACATCAAGAAAAAGAAGGAAGTACTACATTTACAAAACTAACAAAAGCAAACATCACAATGCAGAAGAAAAGAAATCGCTGCTTTCACAACAATACCAAAGAGGCAAGCATCAAATATGAAACTTTTCAAGTTTTCTTTAAAACAACCCGTAAAAATTCTTGTCGCGATTGACCAAAATGCAAATGCAGATAAAAGTGGACACACATTAAAACTGCAAAGAAAAATAAGTAAGAGGTTCTAGTCGGGAGCTCCCAACTAGGGGTTACCCTAGTTCTTTCAATACCAAATGCAGCTCGCACTACGCGCTCGTTTGCTTTCGTAGTAATGAAGATAAATTTAAAAACAAAGTTCCCTTGACAGGGTTCGAGCTCGCAACTAACCGCACTACTTGCCGCCGCCTGTACTTAACAGCCACGCCAGCCAAAGAAAACAAGTAAGAGGCTCTAGTCGGGAGCTCCCGACTAGGGGATACCCTGAACCCTGTTCTTCCAAAATCAAATGCAGATATATATTCTATTTTAGAAGCTATATGTCAAGTTTGGTTGCTCTAGCTCTTATTATTTACTAAAATTTCAAGTCTCTAGCTCTTTTAGGTTCTGAGATCCTTGCGTTCATACACACGGACGGACGGACGGACGGACATGGCTAGATCGACTCGGCTATTGATGCTGATCAAAAATATATGTATATACTTTATGGGGTGGGAGATACTTCCTTCTGTCTGTTACATAGATTTGCATTTTGCACAAAATACAAAAATTTCTCTAGCTCTTATAAGCTCTAAGTTCATACACACGGACAGACAGGCAGGCGGACATGGCTAGATCGACACAGCTGTTGGGGTCGGAGATGCAACCATCTGCCTGTTTCACATATTTCAACAAACACATTTTACCCTTTTTCGCCATATTCAATGGGTTCACGGAATAATAATAAGAGTTTGTAGTTGGAATAGAATAGAATTTACTGTTGCTCTTACGCAATTTAAATAGTGATGTTTGTCGATTTCTGTTACCTTTTACTCCTATTTTCGACTTGTCTTGCTAACATTTTTTTTTTTTTTCGAATAAATGCAAAACCTTTTCGTGCACTATATCATTTTTGGACAAAGTTTTGTCAGCTGCCTTTTGTTAATGTTTTTTTTCGAACCAGTCAATTTCATTTGGTCTAGCCTGACATCATGTATGCCGTCATGCTATATTATTGATTGTCAGTTTAATAGTTTAATAAGTAAAGCCGCATCAACAGGCCTGCAAGGCGAGTAAAAATTGTCTGTTGCTCACGGTTCGCAGATATACTTTGATTTTAGGTTAGATAATTCCAATATGTTTCGGTGCGGGCTACCAATCTGAGGATGTTCTTTAATTGTTAATTTGAATACTGACATCATACCAAGCCATTACCATATTCGGTAAAAAAAAAAAGAAACTCCCATTAAAACGCAATGAAAATAAATTACTTCAATAGATATAACTAGCCACGCCTTGAAAACTTCCAACAAATGTATTAAGAGAATGTGCAAACAGACAGGCAAATTATACGCACAAGCAATAACAATTTATATAGCCGTAGATATTTCACTGCGGCGTACGTGCCGCAAAGCGGGGGGCGTGCAAAAGGGTCGACAACCTTGGCGAAGACAGGTGCATTTCGGAATTAATGATAATTGACATTATAAACGACAAGTTGAGCTGCAGAGCTGGCAACGCCAACGGACATTGACCATGGCGTAATAGCCACTGACATTAGAAGCCAATAAATAAAAGAACGAGCACAAATACTACGTACCATGCGAAACGTGCGGACAACGCGGCGTATGCGCAACACGCACGCCAGTGTACCAGCAGCTGGCATAGACTTAACAGTATTGATGAAAATTTCACAACGAAACGGAACTAAATGTAAACAGAAATAAAAAAATAAATTTGTTATTAGCTTAAATAACATTTAAGATATATATATAGCATATGTACAATATATTTCTATATAATCTACATATATAAAAGAGCGAGTGAATGAGTGACGAATCGGTAACCAAAGTACGGGCGAAAGAGCAAACATTTGAGATTGTTCAATTAATCAAATCATTCAAATTGTTTATTATAATTAATTTTCACATTTCTGATTTTTATGGTCTTAACCAATTAGTAAAAGAGATTTTAAATTGGGCTGAACATGTTAAAACTCATAGCGGTAACAGGCTGCCCCTAACGTTCAATTACTCTAGAAGGCAATTGAACTTTGGAGAGGCAAAGTGGGAGAAATACCAATTTTCGATTGTAAATAGCACAGCATTTTAGGGTAGCGTGTTAATTTTTAGTGCCCCTTAAAGCGCTCTGTTAATCAAAGCAGTCTGTGTTGCTATTATTGTTGAATTGTTAGCTACGTGTGCACGGCGTTTAATGTATTTAATTCTCTAGTAACTATATAGAATGCCAGTTAGCACGTTTCTGTCGCATTGGAGTTTATTAATATAATGAAAACTGATTTGTCGTAAAATATATGAAGCAGTGAACGTCAAGAAATGTTTCGCCCGCTCAATTTATTTTTGTTCGGCCTTTGTCATTTAATAAAACGATACCCAGGGGCAATTGAATGCCTAGGAAGGAGAGTACGTGACCTGTGAGCTTTGTGGCTATGGATGTCAGCTCAGATTAAGATACTCTGATTTAAAATTTTATTAATTACGTCCGTATAGAAGTAAGTCATAGTAACAAGAACGCCATGCACGAAGATAGGGGTTTGAATCCCTGTTGAGATTATCCTATAATGATTTTCAAGAGCTGTGAAAAGGGGCATATCTGGCCGGACGGGCAAGTAAAACCAAAAAACTCAAGGTGTTGGTTTATTATCAGATTCAAGCTCATTTTTGAAGATCTTTATCAGAACTTATTTGACACACCTTCGCAAAGTTCACCACTATTGGAACGAAAATGCGGGTCTGTAAACGCAAGTTTTTTCTTCAGCCTTCAGAGATGCTAATGGTAGATTTCAATTTTCCACAGGCGTGTACTAAATGCAAAAGAATTATCCAAAATGTTTCGCACAAAACGGGCAAAGCCGGACAATACCCGCTAGCTTACTTATATATAACACACCATTTTGGGCTGCACCGATTAATATCCAGAAGTAATAGCCTGTTACTCTTATGATCTCTTAGTTATTGCCCATTTTCATCTCCTTGTGATGCTTCCACAAGACTTGGCAATTAACTATTCAGAGGACCTCAAAAATTTGTTTGCAAATTCATTGAACTATCACTTGGTCGAGCTCCCTTCGGCTGACGTTGATGCCTGCATTGGGGAAGCTCCAATTGATTTGTGTGCATCGGGCAGGGTCCAAAGTTTGTTTTTGCCTTAGCCGGCATTGTTTTCTGAGACTTATGAGGTCGTTTGTTGCTTGCATCGGGCAGCGGGCTTAGTCTCCTCTCACCAAGCAATCAATATTGGCAACATTTTGGTTTTATGCGCCCAAGAATGAAATGCAAACGAGTTTAAAAGGCTTTTTGGTCAGGGTCTTTATTGCCAAAAAAATTCTTTCCACACACATTCTTTTCGTGCTATGTTCTTCAAATGCAGACAGAAAGGCTGAGACAGAGATTTCCAATAGAAATGTGCGTCGATAAGCACAAAATGGGCAAAATTTGAGTTAAGCTTTATTTTGCATTTGGCCATTTCAACATGTTCAATATGTTGTTTATTTTCATTTCGAACTTCCCCACTGACCCAATATCCAAGCAGTTGTATCCATAGGAACAGAATTGCGCAGACGTGGTATTTGGCTGTCGCATGAACTAGTGTCTTGCATAAGTCTAATATAAATGTTGCCCGGTCGGGCAATATACTTGCTTAAATGAAAATAACTAAGCAAGTATAAACCTTAAATGCCTGTACCTACAAGTGTCAACGGAAGCCGAATAAAAGCAAGTAACCAAGAATGTTCAATGTCTAAAAACAAGTGTGTGTCACATTGACAAAAGAGAATCAACTAGGTTCAGAACAGAGAAAATATTAATTCTCACAGAAAGGAAAACCAATAGCTACTCGTCTCAGTTAGTTGTGCTCGTGTGATTTTTCATTTTATTTGGCATTGCGAGCAACGAAGACGACCTAGGTTTCGTATTTGACTTTTCAGTATAACTTAAGCTGAAATTTTCACTTTCGTTTTTTTTTTTTCATTTGTACGAATTTTTTTTGCTTACCATCCTATACGCACGTTTACATCTTAGCGTGCACCTCCATCATATAAGGTAACTACAGTGAAAATTCAGCTTTCTAGACCTTACGACTTAGGCTTGATCAGTCCGTTCGGACAAACAGTTTATATATAAAAATAGTAAGCTTCTTATATTCGAGTTTGTGTGTTTGAATAAAGCTTGTATGGTTTAGAAGCTACTAGATGATTATTCGTAGAGAAAATAATGAATTCACTAGTCTACAAAAATAAACTTTTTGTTTTTAATTTGACAACATTTAAGAACACATTTTAAAAGGCGCAGTACCCAGCGCAAAAAACCTGGCTAACTTATTCACTTTCGCTATTGGAGGAAACTGGCAACACTTGCTCTATATTTTTGTCATGATGGCCGTGCTCAATATTGTCATCGTCATCATCATCATCATCATCTAACTCGTCCGTGGGTGCTGTTTTCAGGCGAGCTATCAGCTCCTTGGCAGGATTAAAAATGCCATTGGTTTGCTGTGAACAAATTATGCAACGCTGCGACTTCTTGTACTGGGCCAGCGCACATTTCTCGCAGAAGTAATGCTTGCACCTAAAATGTGTAGAGATTTATTAGTATATGTTAATAAGCTGTATATTAAGCCAACTAACTTGGTGACCACAGGATTAACAAAGCTCTGCCTGCATATGTGACACTTGAATGGCAGGGATTCCTCATCCGAGTGAATCTCATATTTATGCTCATCCCCATCCGAGTCACAATCTCCCCGCCGTTGCGCCTCGTGATCCATTTCTAGCTGCCAGCCGGCTTTATAGTCACTGCGATCATGTAAAAACTTGCAACTATCACCAAAGCCACAGTAGCCTGTCTCTTTAAAATCTTTACAAATATCTGGCTGATAATCCCAACGTACAGTCGCACGTAGATGCGCCGGGGCCCGTATGGGCCCACTGCGCACCATGCCCGAGCTAGCATTGCCCGCCGCAGTGTCCTTCTTTTTGTAATATTGCGCATAATTATTAATGCCTCGATAGATCTTATCGTCCGCTTTTCCCTCGAGTTCTTCATTGATTTTAAGTGAGCGCGCGTGTATCGCCTGGGCATCGCGATCCAGTTCCGTGTCCATTTCATTAACGGCAGTGGCGCCCTGATCCTGAGGTCCACTAGAAAGAGCTTCACGCTTCGATTTATAAGCCACACCCACAGCATTGCTATCGCCCGCCGAGTCAGCGTCGCTGCCTGATGAGTCGAATCCTCTGGAGCCTATTTCCGCCTTACGTTTAGCTAACGATTTAGTGCTTTGGAAGTTTGGATTAGTACGCTTCCGACGATTTTCAGCACGAACTAAGGCACTTGTTTTACTTTTCAACTCCTCGTCGCTATTTTTTTCTGTGGTTATATATATTTTAGAACTGTGTTTTATCATTGCTTTTTGCGCCAATTTTGGACTTACCCGAATCGTTGCTGCTGGTGCTGCTGACTTTCTTCCGCCTCATACCCGAACCTTTGTTGAAATTACGCTTCTTGAAGCCAAATGTAGAAGTACTTGGCGCCTCTTCGGACATTGTATTACTTATTTGCTATAAGTGATGCCGGTTTATTTACGTATCGTGCGTTTTGCTACAGTTTAGTGCTGCACATATTTATAAACAGAGTATTTTACAACACAGCTGCGACACAAAACCTTATTTCAGGGCTGAACTTATTATGGAACCAGTACTGAGCCCTGGTACCGGTATAAAAATATTCTGATTCCTTTCGCGAAGATAATTCTTATTAAGACAAAATCTACATAAGTAAATATTTTGCTTCAATTATTGTATAGATACTATAATTTGTAAATTTTAGACCATGAAGCTGGAACTGGTGTCCACCACAAAATCCTTCGAGGGCGAGCAACGTGTCTATAAACATCACTCTAACATATTGGATTGCGATATGACCTTTGGTGTCTTCTTGCCACCTGCGGCAGTTGAAGATAAAACCCAATGCCCGGTGGTATACTTTTTGAGCGGCTTGACCTGCACGCACGAGAACTTTGTGCAGAAGAGTGGATTCCAAGGGACTGCAGCTAAGCAGGGCCTCATCGTGGTTAATCCTGATACTTCTCCACGTGGAGTAGACCTGCCCGGTCAGGATGATGCTTATGACTTTGGCAGTGGCGCCGGCTTTTATGTAGACGCTACTGAAGCACCCTGGTCAAAACACTACAAAATGTACAGTTATGTCACGCAGGAGTTGCCTGAAGTAGTCAATGAGAACTTCCCGACGTTGCCCGGCAAAAAGGGGATTTTTGGTCACAGCATGGGCGGACATGGCGCATTGATTTGCGCCTTAAAAAATCCCGGTCTGTACCAATCAGTCTCTGCATTTGCACCAATTTCGAACCCTTCGGAATGCCCATGGGGCCAGAAGGCATTTACCGGTTACTTGGGTGCAAACACAGAGAACTGGCAGCAGTGGGATGCCACCAGCCTGGTCTCAAAGTATGCCAGCACACCGCAAGAACTGTTCATAGATCAAGGATCGGCTGATAACTTTCTTATTGGCAAGCAACTGCTGCCAGAAAAATTGCTTGCTGCAGCTGCCACCAACGACCACATCCAGACCATATTCAAGCAACGCGAGGGATATGACCACAGCTACTTCTACATAGCAACATTTATAGCCGAGCATATTGATTACCATGCCAAGTTGTTAAAGGCATAAGGGATAAAACTAAAATGTTCGAGTTTTGTTTGTAAAAAGTTATGTTGACGAATAAACTCTGTATATACAACTGCACTTTTGCCTATTTACACTTGTCTACCTGTTTCTTATTTTTGCAAGCATGTGTAACATCCTTGCAAGGTAAAGTTTAAGACAAAACGTAGTTTTCGTACACTTTGACTCCAGTAACTTAACAAAATAATATTAAAACAATACATTAATCATAAATATTGTGTAATTGTAGTTTTATTTGGGCTCAATAACAAATGCATATTAATGAAATTGTATCGATTATTCTTTCCAAAATCAACAAATAATAGTTCAAGTAATACGAGATGCCTTTTCAGGAGTTATGATAGAAGTACATACCGGTGTTTCAAGCCTCACTGTCCACTAAAATCAATGTAAGAGTATACACCGATTGTGTGATTAACACATCTGAAACATGTCAGAATCCAAATAAATTAGTAAGGTTTTGACTCTTTCAACAATGAATAAAAAAAAAATATAAGGCGTTATTTTGCATTTAATACACTCGACGCCTGTAACTCATCTCCTTCCAATATAACATGGAAATCCGTTAGATATCGAGATTCGTCCTAAATTCTGGCCGCAACTGAAAAAGTGGCACAAAAATATAGATCATAGTCTCATTTGGTATTTTTGCAGCTTGGATCTGGTTTAGGAAACCCACCTTTCAATTTATAATTCGCGTGCTGGATGAAAAATTATCCAACGCGCCTCCACACAGGCCTGAAATTATGAAACAAATTTTTAACATCGAAGCCAAAGGACCGGTTCAGTGGGCTGGTGTTCTATCATAAGCTCCACGGGCTAAGCTGGTCAAATTTTAAAATTGTCATAATGGAAAGAATTATATCGATTCACAAAAAGAACGCGTTCGAATAGCTTAATCTTAGAATGCTTAAAACACCTTAACAAAATACTTAAAAAAATAATAAATCTATAGACTTGCAATGCATCCGCTGTCTGTGTTGATCAAGAAATCGTCATCTTGAAGCAACTGCGTGGGCGGAGTGCGACTGGGGCTCCATTCGCAGCTTGGAATGAAACCAATTTCCGAAAATTTATTGAAATAGCTATGCTCATCAACAATTGTCAGTGGTTTCAGCGGTGGCTGGCATTCTGGTAGGCCAAAGCTGTTTTCCTCCAGAAATCGGGTGCAGCCCTCATCCTCGTACGCGGGCGCAGGCTGTTGCTGATAATCTGTTAATAAATCATCGATAAAATCATTCCATGAACTTGATGGCGGCTCATTTATATATTGTTCTGCGGCTACACTACCATTGTCGTCGTTCAGCACGCCTGGAAAGGAGTTCGTCTCCATGGGCAGCTCATAGCTGCTGCTTGAATAAGTTGATATAAGGGAGCCATCAGGTGAGGCAGCCCGATTATCCGGCGATGAAATGTCCACATTTAGTACTGTGGTAACATTTTTGTTATTTTTGCAATTACCCAATACGTCCTTTAAATATTGACACTCTTTTTCGAGCTTTTGTGTTAATTTAAACTGCTTCTTAAGTGCTTTTAGCAAGGATCTGTTGGTGCTACGAGTTTCGTCAAGCTCCTTTTCGACTGCCTCCATGTACGCCTTCTTCTTGCGGCGATTTTCGCGCGCAAGCAACGCATTTCTGTTGTATACATTGGGATCTGGACGTCTTGTCGGCAGCCGAGCTGTTCCGGTTTTACGTTTTCCACTCTCCCCTTCAGCATCTTTAGTTTCATTGACGGATTTTCGCTGTGCTGGTCGTCCAGTCGATATGTAAGAGTCACTGTCGCTATCGGAGCTGCTTACATCAACAGACGCATTACATTGGTATTGTGCGACCAATTTCTTTAATTCCTCCATTATTTTGAGTTTTGCAAGCAGGTAAAATGTTTACTATTATGTGCTCTATTTCACGATAGATCCTTGTCTTGTACTTTACCTTTTATTTAATTATATCTATAAATAACATTCAACGAAATATACTTTCTTTTCTATTGTGAAATTGCAAACGTTTAGAGCGAAAAATGACGCATCGTGTTTAAGAAATCTAGTGATGTGATAACACATTGCGATGCCGATATACCAAACATGTTTATATCGATATTTAACAACGATAGCTTGATTTTCCTCTGGGTTCCTCTTGTACATATTTTATAGTTACTTTTCATATGTTTATTTTATTATAAATTTTTGCTTTATTCTTTCTGCGCTTGCATTTATTTATCTTTAACGTATTATTTTCTTAGTCACCTTACATAGCCGTATATTTGATTTATACATCCAAATAAAAACAAAAACAATTAAAACAAGGAAGCTATGCACTTTATACATTATGTACAACGATTTAACTCATATTGTCGTTTTTAGGTTTAATGACTGGCATGACATCACTGAATTAAAACTGATCTTAATGGCAGTCACTGTTTTTTTGGATAAACAAGTCCATTAAATTCCAGCGGATGAAGAGATTTACTTGTAGAACGTTGAAGCATCACGTGAACTGGATTTGGGGGGCATATCCCCGTTCATTTCACACGAGAGGCATGCAAATGTGCGTAAATTGGATTGAGCCAGAAGTGTAACGTTTCCGAAGACTATCGTTTTAGTTTGGAATGACACCCTGCATATAAATATATCGCAGGTGCTACGAAAAGTAAACTTTTTTTTTAAAAGCACATCAAATTGAAACTTAAACTATTTATACTCTATCAACAATTACATAACATTTTAATTAAACGCCATTCCGCATTTTGTCAAAGTCGCTAATTTGATAATAAGTACATACAAATCGCCCACATAAATATGTCTCCATAGCAGGCACCAAGAGTGGGGGCAAATGTCACTTAAACCGTTATAGACTAAATGACACCACCCGACGCGTGTCCCTCAAATGCCGTCCATTTCGAGGCTGTCGTTGTCCCCGTCATTGCCATCATTACCTACCAATACACATGAATGCATTTTAAGCTTGTCTACTTTTAAATACATAGTAATTTAAGTGTGGGATCAGTGATTCCCATCGGCACAATATAGACTAAATCATGCATACATGCATGCATACATATATACTTATGTCTATCGGTATGTACATACACACACACACATACATATGCACGTGAGTCTGTGTGGCACCGGCTATTGTCATCGGCTACGTTCTGAGCTGGACTTGTATATAAAGGTGATAAATCTCACAGTCTGAAATTCAGTTCAATTCCAACTCGACTCAAAGCCGGTTTTCATTTTTTGCTCGAGACCTTCTGGAATATTAAAATGCGTTTTGCTCTGTTTACCATTCTGGGTAAGTTATAGTAGATTAGCGGACATGAAATAAAAACAATGAAATAAAAAAAAAATTCTACTACAATGATATTTGCATTGTGGGGTAGCGCATAGCTTAAATATATAGATTATAATCATATGTTGTAGGACCCTATTTCAAGATCTCTATATCATACAGGCTTGTGCAAATATTAATTATATACAGATAGTTTTTTATTTATATGATAACCAAACAATCTATAACTTCTCATGTATGGCTCATAGAATAACTTGCAGATTGTACAGCAAACTGACCCCTCTAACATCTTTTGAGATAAGGTAAAAATAAGTAGTTAGGGTAGTATAAACCGTGAATAAGGATGTGCTCTTTTTATAGCACTTAGTAAGATTTTATTTTCTTTTTTTCACTGATTAGCGCTGTGCCTGTTGGCGCTCGTCTTTGCCAGTCCAGCCAAGGACTCTAAGAAGCCGGCAAACAGCTGCGCACGCGCTTGCGGCGACGACTACGAGCCCGTGTGCGCCAGGACTAAGAACAGCAGCAAGGAGCGCCTCTTGACGTTCGGAAGCCCGTGCGTCATGGCCAATTACAACTGCCAACACGCCGACGATCGTAAGTCTACTTTGTTCAATCTTAAATTGGCGTTAAATGTAATTTTCACTTGCAGCATTTGAGGTCAAGTCAAAGGGCGAATGTGGCGGCGGCGTCAGCGTGCGTCTATCATAAAAATTGCGAACAATTGCGAGCGTTTACAACTGAAAAAATCAATATCTAAAGTCTAATGGCACAATCAATAAAATAGTCTACCTACATATTCAGATTTGTTAACAGTTTATTGATTATTCATATACATGTACATTCTACAGGCTTAAATTTGCATAACTAAAAATTTAAATGGCTTCCGCACAACATATTGCCTATTCACAAAAAGGGTATCTAATAGTTAGCTAACCCTTAAAAACACACACATCTTCGCATTAACATTCACACATCGCTTAGATAAGTTCAGTTCCAGCTATTTGCCATGGTTTGTATTCCACGCACACACCACTGCACGCACTGTCTATCTATAAAAGAGAATAGCGATAAAAGATATGTTTTATAGTAACTTATACTACTACTCACACATTTATATACTATAAAATCCAATGCAAATAATATATGTACGCATATTGTTGTTTTCTAATATTGATAACTTATAGCTGTTATCAAGTTTGTTGGTTTGTATTTAACTGGAGTATTTATGTATGCGGCTTTAATTCGCCTCCTTCTTTTGCTGCTTGACCTTATAGTCGGCTAGGGCGGCTTTAATTGCATCCTCGGCGAGCATGGAGCAATGCAGCTTGACGGGCGGCAGACGCAGTTCCTTGGCAATGTCCGTATTCCTCAATTTACCTGCCTCGTCAATAGATTTGCCCTTAACCCACTCCGTGGCCAAGGAGCTGCTGGCGATGGCTGAGCCGCAGCCAAATGTCTTAAACTTGGCATCAACGATTTTGCCATTCTCGTCCACCTTGATTTGCAATTTCATAACGTCTCCGCACGCTGGTGCGCCAACCAGGCCGGTTCCAACGCTGACATCCTTCTTGTCCAGGGAACCCACGTTGCGGGGGTTCTCGTAGTGCTCGACTACCTGAAAGAGAAAGTCAATTGTTAACACGTAATTGTTTTCTTATAGCGTGCCAAAAACTATAGGTCGTACAGTACAATAAAAACAGACAAAACATGTAATTATTTAGTATAAAATATGTTACGAAAGAAATTTGCGTGAGGCGAAATCTTAAGTTTAATACATACATTCTCATGGTATAGTGCCACCGGTACACTCTGAACTCGACGCAGCTGGACTTGTAGAAGTCGAGATGATTTTTGGATAAAAGACATATTTATTTCGAAAATGTTCTTGCTTCAAGTCAACTGATATAAAATGAAATGGTTGTGAAATAGCAGCACGAGAAGAGTCGAAAATAAACACACTGGATACTGCGTAGTTTTTATCGAACCAGCTCAATGACTGGAACTAGCGTTCCAAATGGAACTGGTACAAAGAAGCTTTGTTCGTTCATTGGTACTCATGGAATATTCTTTCTTTATATGTATGTATGTATGTATATAGACATATGTATATATGCAAGACATTTGATATACATGTACAATGTATAATGATTTCTTGCCAGCATATACTTTGGATGTTCTGTTTGGGATTACTTTTGTTTACATATATTACTTTTGCTAAATAGGGAAATGCGGTCGTGAGTCTCGAAAACAACAGCCCCATTTACGAATATGTAAATTAGTTAAAGGGAACATACGAGAGTTATTCAATATCATTTAAACAAGTAATTTATTGAAAAAGGAAAATAAATAAATATCAATGCATTGTTTTACATAGAATTTTGTTTTTATTCGTTTATTATAGCATTATAATTATATCTTCAATGTTATATTCCATCTCCATATCCTCGACATCGACTTATTTAAATATACAAAAAATTGTGTGTTATAAAAATGGTTTAATCTTTTATCGGTTTTGTTGTTGGTTGCTTGCTTTGCTTGTGGGTCGAAGGACGAATGTCCATCCAAGAAATTGGCTGTTAGCCCGTTTTAGCTGCACCCACCTTGTGAGGAGATATTAGAGCACGCAGCGCTTCAGTCTTCGACAGCATATTTCTGGGTCCATTCACGTGCATTGCGTATGGCCTCGGCCTCATTGACCTTCCACAGCTCGGCCACATCGTTGGCTAGCGGATCATCGGGATTGGGCGCACTGAGCAGCGCCTGAATGGACAAGAGAATGGTGCGAATTTGCAGGGCCGGACTCCACTTATCCTTTAGCACATCCAGGCAAATGCGTCCAAGACGATCGATATTCGGATGGTATATTTTTGTGATGAAACGCACCTTGGGTGCCGACATTGGATAATCCTCGGGTAGAAACAGCTCCAGCTTGAAGACGCCGCCCTCAAACGGCGAGTCATTTGGACCGGCGACCACTACATGAAAATAGCGCGCATTGTTTTCATCGGGAATTGCATTAATTCCGGGCACCGGCTCCTGCATCAAGCGCTGCGTCTCCTTTATAATGCGACGTGGCAGACTGGACATGTTTTAACCTTCTTTTTGTCCCAGTTGTTGTTGTTGGTGCTTCTGTTGTTGAGTTCACGCAACTTAAGAATGACAAAGGTAAAATATCTTTTTGGTCTGTTCCGCCAAAAGAAAGTTAACTGATCTGCACCTGTCTAGCTTCGTTTAATTGAGATGGACATAGGACTATTACAATGACGAGCTGTAAAACTATTATTTATAGTTTGATCGAGCGTTTTATAAAAGCAAACTAGCCTGTGTCCCTAAAACTTGAACAAAAAAACTAGTTCAAAAATTGGAATAAATTTGCACAACAGCTGCTGAGCAGTGTTGGTAAGTGTGTAACAATGTACATTGCGTACACGATTCAACTAAAAATATCTCGTTTGTTGGCATGAACGTGTATTAGGCGACGGTGCCGATGTCAAACTGCCAGCAAGAATAGCAACAAAAGGCTGTCTTCCACTTCTCAAAGACGCCCAGCAAATTTTTTTAATTAACACAAACCGTTTTACAAGTTGACTACCATGACGTCACGAAAACGGAGCGGCAGTGGTTCCACGAAACGCCCCAAGGAAAAGGTTTGGAATGCACCTCAATTCACCTGGCTTGACTTTCATTTCATGCATTATTTTGATATTTCTTAGGTTGTTTACATATACGAGTTGCTGTGTCGTGGGGAGGATCCCAGCGCGGATAGCCCCGAGTTCTGGCACGAGTTCTTTTTGCTGCAACCCAACTTTGAGTCCCTGGAGGACCAAATCAGCAAAATAAACAACGAACAGCTGCATGTGGTTAAGCCGAACCTGAATACACTATTCCAAAAATGTATAGAAATGCTGGACACATCACGGGGTAAGACGTCTAATACTTGACACATACACAAACACACAGATCTAAACCTCTTTTCACGCGTAGAGGATCACCCCAAGCGCCTGTGCAACAGCCTGCAGACATTATGCTCGCTCTTCTATGGCATATTCAGGAAGTGCAACACCGATGCCAGCTCGAACATACTGAATGAGATCTTCGGACACGAGACAATGGATGAGTGGCTAAAGCTGCTGATGCAGCATTGCAACCGGATACTGCTTGGCGATGTTACCGAAAACGCGCGCTTCATGTGCTTGAAACTGTTGCTGGTGTTGGTGACTGGCACGGATGTCAGCCAGAACGTGCTCCTTGAATACCTGATGATGCACAGCCTGTTCGATGCTTTTGTTCGCCTGCTGAGCGATCCCACATTTCGTGCCCAGCATGGCCACGACATTGTCATACTGCTGACCATTCTGGTGAACTATCGGAAGCACGAGGCAACCAATCCGTATGTAGTGCAGCTCTCCATTCTGGCCGACGAGCTAGCGTTGAATGGGTAATGTGAATCACTGATTAAATTATAGATAATTAGACAAGCATGTTTGATAACGAATGTCTCATAATGTGCCTTTATCGGTTTTGTAGCTATGGCCAAATGATCTCGCAGTCACTCATTGATTTTTGCCGCCAGTATATGCAAAGCTTAAATAATGTGCAATCCTCTTCGTGGTTTTCGTCGCTCTCAAGCATGGTGGGCAACATGTTCGTTTCCGATGAGGGTTGCGAGCGTGTGCAGCAGATTAAGGCCAACAATGGTCTATTGCTGGCCCTGTATGAGGCAGTGCATCTCAATCGCAATTTCATTACGACCCTGGCGCATCCACAGGCAGAGTCGAGTGCACCGCCATCGCCCAGCAACACATTGAGTCTGACACAGCCGGTGCCAGATCTAGCCAATGCGCCCATCATAGACATGACACAGTATCCCACAAATCTGCTCGTAGCAGTTTTTCAATATTGGTAAATCTATGACATTTCTAGTCGATTGATTCACGTTAATTATTGTGTTTCCACAGCTCCATTGTTATGCAGGACAACAAGAATGAGTCCAGCATTGCCAATTTAAAGCTCTGCTTTCTGATACTCACCTGCATATCAGAGGATCAGTATGCAAACTCAATGATGCATGACAGTAATTTGACTTTCAAGGTGATGTTGCATCGCGCCCAAATGCGTCATCGCAAGCTTAATGTGGATCGTGTGGGGAAGTCGCAGCCTCTGGCAGCCACATTGCTTGATTTGCTGGTGGAGTTCATTGTCTCGCATTTAATGAAGAAATTTCCCATGGAGCTATATCTGTTGTGCATTGGAGTTATTCATCGCATTCTGTGCTATCAGAAACGCTGTCGCGTTCGCCTCAATTATCCTTGGAAGGAGCTGTGGTCGGCTTTGATTGGTCTATTGCGCTTCCTGGTCAATCAGGAGCAGACTCTAGTAAAAAAGTGCAATATATTTCACTTGTCGCTGCAGGTGGTCAACATTTTCAATCTCTTCATTACGTACGGCGACACATTCCTAGCCACAACAAACAGCTATGATGAGCTCTATTATGAGCTAAATCGCGAGGAAAAAGTATTTACGGAAATACACGCCATGGGTAAGCGAACGAAGGAAAATGTATTTAAAACACCTTTTAATAATATTCTTTCTAGTTTTGCGCTACACCACTATGCCGGAATGCGAATATAAGGACGATGTTATCAAGCTACTAAATGCTCTTGTCAACATACTCGCCATTGTGAAGCACTTTCAAAACAAAATTAAGGAATGGCTGGCCGAGCAGGGTCTGTCGACACCGACGGAGGAACAAATACTTGATGTCGTACGCAAAAATTATGACCTTACACTAAAGCTGCAGGACTCGCTGGATCAGTACGAACGATATGCTGAAGCACCGCTGCACAGCAGTTTCTTTCAGGCCATGGTCCGTGATGTGGTCAATGATACGCGAAAACACATCTACGGCTATGTTAAGGAAGCTGTGTCCATTATACCCGAGCAGGAGGTGTTACTAGCAACAGTTACCGCCTCAACACCGACGACACCGGGGCCATCCACGTAGGAGCCCACTGACTCCCAAGACTGTTAAAATTGCTTTCTGACGTTTAGTTATATAATTATATCCTTAATTATTCAATCTCTGGAAGCATACACTCGATGTAATCTATAAGATTAAAAGTGCTTTTGCTAGCTTTTGTTACCTTTCGTTGTCGAGCAGTGCACTTATACATAAATATAAATATACATAATTATGTATGTGAAAAATTATACGTATATGGCTATCGCTACTATTTATCATTATAAATGTATTTTAAATATATTTCGTATATTTGTCTACATTTTCATTGATTGTGTTTTAAAATGTTGGGACTGGTCTTTTTCACTTTTGAGGTTTTTGTTTACCAATTGGGGTTCTTGTTGATTAATTCTCTCCACAAAACAAACATATAGTTGATATAAAAAGTTCTTAAAAATGTTCACCCTAATCGTTCAATAATCATTTGTAAATTCAATTAAGCTGACAATTTCACAGTATGAAAATTATTTAATCCATTTTATTTATATTTATATACTTGTTGCTCCTTTATTAATACCCAAGCTTTCTAAGTGCTTATATCTTTTTCATACAAAAAAGTAATTATATGTAATACATATTAGTATATATATTAATTTTGTTGGCTATATAGACGCTTCCTAAGTCTAATGCATCTATGTGGTTTATATATGTATACATTTTGTATACAACATTTGCAAACGATGAACATTTTCAATGCAATAAAATAGATCATAGATAAAAACAATTTGCAAATTGCGTAGAATGAAATATCAATATTCGATTAAATTAATTTAAAGTTGTAAAATACATAGCAAAAAGGGTTAATAAATTTCATTAAAATATACAGTTGCTTGTTATCAGATTTTTTATACAGATATTTCTTTTTTTGCTTTCACTTCGATAATTTAACTCGTTCGCTTATATAATTTATACGACACCTGGTTCAAAAGCAAATCGATCACTTAAAGGCACAATTAACAAAAATTTGCATTTAAATTAGCTCTTTCTTTTTCATAATCAATATCTAAGTTGTGTTATTTCTCTTGTCGTGGAATTGTGGCTTATATGATATTTGATGATGTTATTTACAATTGTTTATATGAATTTAATTAGGTTCCTTTTATGAGAGGATTGTGTGTTTGGGGGCGGGAATATATGGGTCTAAGTAACGTTCTAAAACTATGTAACTGTAGTGCTCTACGGCCTAGAAGTGATCCACCTTGACGGACACTGTGTGGGCAGCCGCATTGCTGGGCAGATCAATGTTGTCCCATTCGGTATGGAGGTTCTTCTCACTGTCGGTGGCCTTGAGTGCCAGACCCAGTGATGCGGTACGTCCGGCACAATGGGGTATATTGAGTGTAACGGGCACCAGAAACTCAAGGCCCTGCGGCCCGCACATGACAAGTGGCGATAGCATCGTTTCACCTGGTTAGGAGATTACAATATTTTAGATATCAATTGTTTTTCATTTTAAGAGTAATAAAGCTAATTGCAAGTATATGCTTGTGTTGGTGGGTGTGATTGTTTTAGGAATAGCGAAATAATACAAGTTTGGTGTTGTTTGGTGTGTTACGGCATGTGAAGTAATAGAAAAAATAAGGTATATAGCATAACATTTAAAGGAATAGATTTGGTTGATAGGGTTATATAAAATAATAATTTTTGTCTACGAACGTTTTTGTTTTTTTAAAGGTACCAAAGGGAAGTTCTTTTATATATTTTGGAGTATATACATTTTATATATAAGTATATCTATTGAAACCATGTTGATTGTATATTATATGTTTATTATATGTGTTGTAATTTTGAGTGAAATGAAAGAAACTATTTATATATATTTAATAAGTTAAAGCGTTTAAGAATATGAGTGTAATATTAATCATTTCCATCAATTCCATTCCGCCAATTAGTATATAAAAATCAACTAGAATTAAGAACATGCAGGTTAAGCTGAATTATAAGAAAATCCAAACTACAGAGTTAGATCCAACTAAATATAATATATAAATATATATAATATAATATTGCACATTAATAATAAAAGAAATGCCCCTTTCAGAGCTCAATTATATAGAAAATTTGCGCAGTTATTTACAAAACGATAAAATGAATTTTAAAAAATATTTTAAACATTAAATATATTTTACAGCTGCGAATATTCAAAATAAACAGAGTTCCGTTAGGGGAATATCTTTATATACATTGTACCTATATACACATAGATTAAATAATTAAAATGATTTGCATTCAAAATATCGCAAACAAAATTCAAGTAAAAAATAGAAACTTGTGAATTTGCTTTAGTAATAATTATAGTTGCTTGTAACTTTAATTGTTGTTTTTGTTGCTTTTGTTGCTATTGTTGCTGTGGTGGCAATAGGTGGTAGTGAAGGTACAACACAATACGAGCAATACGAGAGTAAGAGAAAGAGAGAGTGTGTGTAGAAAGTTAGATAGACCAACCATTCTCCATGTCGAGCGGCGGACCGCCAACGGCCTGTCCCATGCGCGGATCGCTGACGGTAAAGTAGATCTCCTGACGCACACCAGCCGGAATGGCGCCCGGCGGTATCTGCAGCGAGACGTGCCACAGCTTGTCAGCCAGCGTGCCACCGCTGGCATCAAAGAAGCCGCGCGTGGTGCTTGGCTCACGCGGCAGGCTGGGAAATGCGGTGGCACCATTAGCCGGCACTGGACCAGCAATGGGCAGGGACATGCTGCTGCTGAAAGGTGTGCTGGTCGCATTGGGCGGTCCAACCGGCAGGCTGGCCTGCGATGTGTACTGGGTCTCAATCGAGGTGCAGCTGTCGGCCATCAGCGAAGAACTGGGCGGCGGCGGCGGCGCTGTGCGCTTTAGTATGTTGGAAATGTGAAAGGGCGCGCGTAGTGCGCGAGGTGACAACGGCTGTTTCGAGGCGGAAATTGGCTCTGTGGCATGGGGGAGTGGGGTAACCTGATCGGTGGCCTCAAAAACATCATCCGACATATTCTGCGTGTCGCTGGCCAACATAGCTACATTGTGCTGATTATGCTCGATAGCTGTGGGTTGCTCCGCAGGCTCTGTGCTGCTGTCAGCCTCATTGGGCTGGTCGTCCTTAGTCGCATCCGCATCCTCATTCTCATCCGCATCGATCTCGTCCTGCACCAACGGCGCTTGACAGACGACGACGGGGGCCAGTGTATTCTCAACGACCGTGTCCGAGGACTTTTGCAGGTCTGAGCGGCTCAGCGTGCTGTCCTGGGCATCCTCGGGCTGTGCATTTATTTCCACCTGCACCTGCTCCGTTTTGCACTCTTTCTCCTTCTTCTCATCGGTTTCGTTCTCTCGTGATTGAAGGATGCTTTCTTCGCGCGTCTCATAGATGGGCGCCGGCCGGCCCATGTCTCGCTTGGTTACATAGATCGGTTCCGCCATGCTGTCCAGCGCCTCGCGTCGCGTCTGATAGATTTGTTCGCGAAGCTGGCTGCGCGTACCCTCCCGCCGCGACTGATAGTTGCTATCGGAATTGGAGCGCTCGGAGCGGTCGTCGCTGCGCTCGGATTGACTGCTGCTTTGCGCACTCAGTTCGCGTTCCATGTCGCGTTTGCCCTGTATGATGCGTTCCTGCATTTCCCGCTTCGACTGATACAGATGATTGCGCTGCATTTCGCGCTGCATTTCGCGACGCGTCTGATACATGGGTTCGGCCTCCTCGCCCTGCTCATTGGCGGCGCCGGGATAGAAGCGCCGCCGTGTCATTACCTCAGAGTTGGGTGCACGCCGCTGGTCAGGCAACATATATGCGCCCTGGCGTGTCTGATAAATGTCCGGCGGCTGTCCTTGCTGCTCATAGCCATTCGCAGCATGAGCCTGGTGCATGTGCCGTCTGCCAGGTGGTGCGGTTGCACCACTATTACCCCCACGATCCGCCGTTGTGGTGCTGTGTCGACGCACAATGCGTCTTCCGCTGCGGCCGCTGACAGCCGCCTCGGCTTGACGTCGCTCCAGATCGATGCAGGCGCGATTCGCATATAGATCGTACTGATCATAGCCGGCATAGCCTGTGTCTGGTGGAGGCCGTGCCATGTGCCGTGGTACTGTGCCCCCAATATTGCCATAGATATCTTCACTTTCCAGATTCTGGTAGGTGCTGTTCATCAGCTCCTGCTGTGGATAATGCGGCGCACCGTAATACGGATCCGCTGGTGGCGGCAGCGGCGGCCGCTCTTCATAGCCAGTAGCCGGGTAGGTGGGATATTCGTCGGGATAGTAGGGCCGCTGGACGCCGCGTTCAAGCATCGATTGCTGACGTCGCAGTCCCTTCGGTTTACGCTCCGGCTCCACCATGCTATTCATGCGACGCAGTGGTCGTGTCGATTTGATAAGCGCATTTTTCAGTGCCGCGAGCGGACTCTTCAGTACCGATTTCTTCTTCTTGTGCGGCGGCAGTGGTGGTGGCGCCACCTCCATGCCATGCTCATCATAGTATTGCATTTCCTGGCCTCTATAGCCACGACTGCCTGTGCCGTAGTGGCTGTAGTAGTTGGGATCTTGCGTGTGCGGCGGTCGCTCATTGGGATAACGGGGTGCGGATCGGGAGCGTTGCATTTGATGCGTATATGGATGTGCTGGGTGTGGATGAGCCGCTGCTCCTGCTGGTGCCACCGCTGGTGGCGGCATGGCATAATAATTATCATCATAACGCGCATCGTATGGCTCCATTTCGCTAAAGTTTTGAATTTATTTTATATTTTTTTTTGTGTTTCTTTTTTTTTATGGAGATTAGCAAAAAGATTTTTCTGTTTTTTTTTTTTTAGACGGGATCAAACTTTGGTGCGGCAACGCGCTATGGGAAAGTGACTTGAAAAGCTGATTGTGCCAGAAATTAGGGACTAGAAAACACTACCAGGAAGCAATCGGTCCGACAATGAATTCTTCTTTGAACTTTTGCCATTTTGAAAAAAAAAAAACGTGAAGTAGATTTGTTTACGAAAAAAATATGCATTTCATACAAAAATTTGTGCTTGCAAAAATTAGTTTCTGTTTCGCGATTTTCTGCAAATCTTTCGCATAAACACACAAGCGCATACCCAAAGTTGTATTTCTTATTATATAAATAAGTACAATAAATACTTATTAGATTTTGCAAAAATAACCAAATTGTAGATATGTAATACAAAGAAAAAAAATTGTAACCATTTACCATGTTCAAGTATTTTCAGTAAAAGCAACATTTATGAGAGTACTAGAAGTCAATTAGTCGTTTTTGGGTGTTAGTTTTAAGCGTAATCATAATAATATTGTATTTTTTCTTATAAACCCAAAACCAACAATTCAAATACACAAATGTGTTGAACTCTAATTAAAGGAAATAGTTCAGAAAAAGATATATGCTCGCAGCATGAGTATATGTAGGGTGTGTATAGAGAAATTCTAGAATAAGTGAGTGTATACTAAGTAGAACTGTGTGTGGCAAAAAGTTAACCCGAAAAATGTTTTATTTTCGTTATTTTTATTTTTATTTATTTAATTTTTTCTTTCAAATTTTAATTTTTAATCAGCACAAAATGTGCGCTAAGCGAGTCGAGATATATATCTCTATTTTTTTTTTTTTGGTACATTCAGCTTGCAAATTTGTTAAGCATTTTGGTTAATAATTTTGGTTATTGCAAAATACAATAATTATTTATGCGTCACTTAAGTAAATCAAACAAGAATTTATCTTTCGGTTTTATGCGAGTTTTTTTGTGCGTTTTGTGAAAAAATTGCGACAAATTTCCAATTGTTTTTATGCATTTAAACATTTATAATGACCAGCAACCGCATGATTATGAATATATTATATATTGGCAGTATGAGAGAGTTTTGATTGATCGACTGATTGACTGATTGACTGATTTATTGTTGTAAATTGTAAATCACAAAATGACATATAACAAAAATAAAAACATTTTTCGTTAACAGATTGTGCTTGTAAACTGTGTACACAGTACGCAGGTGTACAAGGTGTGTAGAGCTTTGAATTGGCCTAGGTCTTAAGTAGTCTCCAGATACGCAAACAAACACGCACACACACACACACACACACACACACACACACACACACACACACGCACACACGCACACACACAGCTTGCCGAAGCTGTAGAAATTCTCAATCTGTTTGTAATTCAGTTTTTTTTTTTTTGGGGATGGGGATAATTCAGTGTACATTGGCTTATAGTTGGATTTGAGCACTTACCTCATGTTGTGATGGTGCCCAACAGCGGCGCCGATCTGCGGCTTACGATATAATTCAAAGGCGGAACCGCGCTGTTCCCGACTCCCAGCCAAATCCAGTGCGTGACGTTCGGGTGTATGTGGTGGTAGATTGCCTAGAAAATTACAAATTTAAAAAAATGCTCGGTTATAAGGAGAAAAATCCCCAAAAGCTACATATACAGGATGTTGCCAAGATTGTTATAAATTTATTGAACTAATAATATACTGTTAATTGTTTGGGTTACTTCAACATATTTCATTTGGATTTCTTTTCAAATAGGCAAATTATATTAATTATCTTGACCAATTTAATATTTTTATTTTTCAAGTCTAATCTATCTTGAATTCCCCTTCTAAATTACTTAAATTTAATTGAAACTCGAAATCTTTAGATGTCATCTCTCTCAAATAAGAGCTCGAAATATATCTTCTTCTAGAGCATAAGCCGAGTTAATTTATTTTCCATTATATCCTCCAACTTTCATAATATCGATAAATAACGAAGAGTATAAGAGCTTGCTGGTATACACCTTCTGCTATTGTATAGACAGACACAACTTTTATTAATTTTTTGATATATTGTCCCTTTGCTGTGTATCTGCTGTACGGGTATAACCGAGTAGGGCACATATACTTGCACTTTATAAGCCTCGTTTAAGTAGGGACTTACCTATTGGCGGTGGCATGCCCCGATGTGGAGCAATGTACGGTCCGGTGCCACTGCCACCATTGTAGTGATGACTGTTGCCATTGTAGCCATTGGCCTGGGGATATTGCTGCTGCTGTTGCTGCTGGGTCGGCGGTGCTTGCCCGTAGTTGCCAGTGCTGGTGCCGTAGGTAGGCTGCTGCATGTGGCCATTGCTGGGCTGGCCCTGATGCGGTGAGCCGGGTGCCGGCGTCTGTGGTCCGTAATGATGATGCGAAGGCGTCGGGGGATAGTAGAATCCATTGGGCGAACGGGGTGAACCAGAGTCCTGCAAAGAGCAACCACTGAACGAAATGGCTCCAAAAGAGTTTTTGATTAGTTACTTACGCCATTCTCCCAGGGCGTGGTGCCACCGCTGCCACTGCTACCGCCGCTCTGCACAGGCGGCCGATAGTTTTTGGGCTTGGGTGGTGGCACGGGCTTAAATGGTCCGCTGCCATTGCTGCTGGGCGTGGCACTGCCATTCATTTGCCCACCATTGCTCACATTGGTGGGCTGCACAACGTTGTGTGGATTTTTTGGAAGCTTGCTGTAGTCGGCTGCCGATACGGAGTTGTTGCGGCTAGGATTTTTGTGATTGTGGTTGCATTTTTGGGGCGTGATGGAACATGGTGTTGGCACATACAGTTTATACGTGTGTGTTGGTGTTGTGGTAGTTGTATTCGAGTGGTTGTGTGGTTATGATAGCGCATAAACAAATTGTATGAAACGTGTCGATGGGCACAAACAGAAGCGAGAAAGAGAAAAATATTTGACATAATTATAGGATATGTGTGATAAACTATGTACGCAGCTGTATATATATAGATATATATATTTAATTAATTGGGCAAAACAGAACACAATTAGATAGTTTTAATACAGTCGTCGTTTATTGCACAGCAGACATTTGGAATTTTTTTTGCATGGTCTATATACACAGTTGGACTTGATGAGATGCAAGGTCTTTAAGGGGGCATACAAACAACTATTTTGATAAAAGAATTTATAATAACAAAAGAAAATTAAGACTTGTATGGAAAATAACATTTAAATGCAGGCAATTGGGAAGCTCCAGAGATACACACATATATAAACAAAATTTCTTTGAATGAAATGAAACTATATGTATACAGATATAGATCTATTTTTGTATAGTTCATCTCATTTAACTCTTGAGCTGTGGTGCAATATCGTTTAAAAAGATTTCGTTGTGGCTTTACTAAACGAGCGTATCGTAAGCTGAGACAATTGGAAAATTGGGCGACATTTTGAGGCGGGGCGCAGCAATGGGTCTACGGGTCCAGTAGCCCAGGCCCGTTGCAGTTGCATCCATGGCGCCGAAACGCACCAGGCTGTTCAGCTGTAAGGCCGTGGGCGGCTGTGAACGATGTGATGTGTATTTGAAATGCATGGGACTAGGCAAATGGTAGCGTCTACATGGACGACAGCGCAGAGCGGGCGACAACAAAAAGGTACAATATTTTTGTATATTTACGAAACATTTGAAAGTGCATGCGATTGAAATGCCGAAAACATTAGAGAAAGAGAGAGGAGAGAGAGAGAGAGAGTAATAGGTTTCTTTATGATTTCACGCACGATTATACGGAGTGCTTGGTGTATAAGACTTTACTTATTATTCCTAATAAACATACCTATATTTGCCGTAATCAGTTTTGGTTTCCACCAATGGTTTGCGCGGACTGCTGTCCAGGCCCAGATTCGATGGACGCTGCGGTGTGCCATTGCGCGGATCTGCGGAGGGATTGAATTGAGTGAATATTTGCTGAGAAATCAACTGTTCGCAGACTTACCAATATTACGGGACGCATTCAGATCATGATAGAGTGGCCTGCCGGGACTACTTTGGCGATTCAGATCATTGGCCGCCCCAAAAGCGCGATGATCGTGCGTTGCGGAGCGACCATAGTCATGGGGCTGCCCCACAGGCGGCAGAGGACGACCACTGGAAATATTGTTATTTGATTAGCTCTAATGCCAGGTCATCATAACTTAGAGCTAAACAGTTTCTTTTTTCAAACATTAACGAACCCGTTCAACAATAGTTTGTCATATATATATATTTAAAACTTTAATAAACTTTCGAAAATATTAATTTCAAATACTGAAAATATTTTTATAAATATTTTCGTAAATATTTCCATATGCCAGATTTGCACTTGATCTGATCTCTATCTAGAATTGGCCTCTTCAAAATTTGTTTAGATAAATAAAATACCATAGTTGGTTTCTAGTTTAAATTTACTTTAGTGCTGTGGCTTTTCAAATGCTTTATATTTTGAACCAAACCATTTTGAAGAAAAACATTTTTCGGTTCAGCTATCAGTTCAGTTGTGTTTTGAGAATCTGGATTGGCTTAATGTTTGGCTCATATTAAAAAATAATAAATTGAATATCCGGGCTTGAATCTCCTTTCTTTTTGTATTAATATTTATATTTATATTTTTATATCTTACCTTGCATTTGGCACTGATTTGAGATCATCGGGCGCATTGGGCCCCAGTCGGCCGAGATTCTGCATGGCCAATTGTGTGTTATTGTAGGAGTCGTAGCTAGAGACGCTGTCGTAGGTGGAGGCAGGACCTCCATTACCGTTAGTCTTGTGCTGTGCTGGGCTGCCTATGGCCGCATTCATGCGCGCCTGTCGCTCTAGAGAGGCCTGTTGCTGCTGACGTTCAATGGTATCGCCGCCGGCGCCGACCAACGCATTGCGCGTCACATACTCGGCCTGAACATCGTCCTGGAGCACGGCCTTGCCGAAGAGACGTTCCTGAGCGCTGCGGCCCAGTGTGCCGCCGGAGCTGCCGTTGCGTGATGAGCTGCTAGAGGTGTTCAGGGGCAGATCACCCGGCTTGGACTGACGGTCGACGCGCGGCGGAAGATCCGGTGCATTGATGCCATACAGGGACTGTGGGCGTGTGACGCCCACTGTGGAATCAACTGGCTGCTGCTGCTGCTGCTGTTGTTGTTGCGGCTGTTGTTGTTGCTGGGGCATATGGGTGCCGTAGATGCTGTACTTGCTGGAGTCGAGGGTCTGGCGTCGACTCGGTGGCGGCTGCACGCCATGATCGTAGGGTACCTGTGTCGGTGCATAGCAGGTGAGGAGTGAAGGGCAGCGAAATAGATTAGCACACACTGTGATCAATATGGATACGATGGATGATATATTAGAGGGCCTGAGCTGGGCGCATCGGGGCACTTGGGTGGTGTTTAGTGGGGCGCATGCTCGTAATGTTTAGAATTAAGTTGGGCTTGTTTGGACCTCTTACCGTATATGGAGGTGGTAGTCCTTCACCAATTATGTCTCTATCCCTATCCAAGTTATCCTGGTTAGTGGCAATCGATGGATCTGAGCTCGCTTTAACCAATTGCGGCAAATTGCCAAGCGACAATGATGCGGATGGCCCGGGACTTAGCTCCAAATCAGATTCGGGACTTGATGCATACGATAAACGGGATGTGGTCATGGGGAATAGGAAATCATCGGAGAGGGATTCGACGGGCTGGGGTTTTGTAGTTTGTTAAATGAAGGCACGTTAGGAGCGGAGCGGAGCGGAGTCAAGTTAATTTAATTTTGAATTGGTTTAATTAGCGATATTCAAGAGTTTTGCAAAAAATTAACGCGGTAGCAATTTTGATTGTTGTCGGTTATCGGTTATCGGTTATCGGTTATATATATATCGGGAAATAGCAACCAACGATTTGTATTTTTTGTTTTGTTTGTAAAACAGCAACAAGAAACGTAAATGAAACATAGCAAATTGTATGATTGATTGTTTGGTTGATACGTTCGATTGAAATTCATTTGTATTGTCAAGCATATTGAATATATAAAAATAGTTTTTTTTTGGACGAACACAAGATAATTTTTTTTTTTTTTTTTTTTTAGTTTTGGACGAGGACATTTGTTGAGTATTTCGTTATTTGTTGATAATTGTTGGTGTTGTATTGAGGATTTTTTTTTTTGATAATTGTTGTTGATTATTATGCGGCGTGTTTAACGGGATGATTAAGCAGGAAATGACCATGATGATGTATTGCATTTTTTTTTGTTTTTGATTTTGGTTTTTGTTGTATGTAAATAAAAGAAACAAATGAAAACGATAAACATTTAGTTAGCAACTTGATATCAAATATTTTGGGTATATGGTAAAAGCAAAAAAATACATCACTCTAGCTATAAAGCGAGCGATTCTTTTGCGTAGACTTAAGCTAATATTATGAAGATACGAGTAGATATGAGACATAAATATTTGTATGTATATAGTTTTGTTAGGTATGTTTGTATGTTGATGTGGATGGGTTTTTGAGACCCACTCGTTGCGTTTAGCTTTAAAATAAAGGTTCCAATTCAGCTATTTGCCAGCACAATTGGAATATTTTCAGAGATTGTTGGCCGAAAACAGCTGATATTTTAAACTTATATAGCCACTTTGTGCTCAGAAACTTTAATAAGCTGTGTTTAAAAGTAATTTTTAATATTGGATTCATTTACAATGCAATGAGCAAAAGCAACGAGTAGAGTGTTGTTGTTAATGATTTCTGCATGCGTTAACTACACACAAATATGTACAGACACAAACACACACTAAATGAACACTCAGATATACGTAATTTAGATTTGGTTAAAGCAACTACATTCAGTTTTGCAGGCGACTAAATTAACAACGAATCTCATGCAATGCAATCGTTGCTGCGGCCCACATTTTTGTTGGAATCCGCATTGTTATTGTTATTGTTGTTGTTATGATTGTTGTTGTTGCTGTTGCTGTTGTTGTTGTTGTTGTTGTTGCTGCTGCTTAAGTTATTCAAATTGGCTATCTGATTGGATAGATTATTAAAGGCCAGGTTCAAAGATCTAGCGGCCGGCGTCACCCCAAAGCTCGCCTCGTCCGCCCCATCATCGACCAAGGTGCCGGCGCTGCTGCTGTTGCCATTGCAAAGCAAATCGCTACTGGATGAATAACTACTATAGGCAGCGGTCAATTTGGCGCTGCTGACGCTGCCGTCGGGCAGCCGCTGCTGTGGCTTGGCCACGGGTGTTGCCTGCTTGCCACCCACAGCGGCGCTGCCAGCGCCAGTTGACGCCTTGGTGGCTGAGCCGGCCGCCTCCAGCTTTAAATTGCTGTTCTTCTCCCTGTCCTGCAACAGATTCAGACTCGAATCGAATACGTTCTTCTGTAGCAGCTCGTGGTAGTAGTAGGGCGTGGTGCGGCGTTCTATTGAGACGGCACGACGACCCAAGCAGGCGGCAGCTACCGGCGCACGTTGACCGCTTCGCTCACCATGGAGGGCGCTGTTCAAATAGAGATAGCTACTGCTGCTGCTCAATAAATTGGGCTGCGAACTGTGGTACTGTGAGCTGGCATCCTCATTGACAGAGGCGCTCTCAATGCCTCCGCCTCCGTCCAGTAGGTGACCTTTGCTGCCCGGCATGGAGGAGGCGGGCTTTAGAATGGGCACCATGGTAAATGACTGGCGACTACGCGGCTGCAGCTGCTGCTGCTTTTGGTTGTCTGCCGAGGGTAAGCTGGCGTGTATATATGGACCTCGCTCATAGCTAACGGGCGGTGGGCGTGGCGGCGGTGTTAGCGTGCAATCGTTAAATGGCATTAGCGAAAAGGAGTTGCGCCTGAGCCGCGTCCCATTATAGCGCGGCACCGAGATTGAAGTGGGGCGACAGCAGGCGAACTTGCAAGGCTGTGCTATATAGGGTGGGAATAGCATTTCGGTTGGGGATTCGGGAAGCTGCTCACATTGAGTTTTTATTGAATTAATGCATGTGTGTGTGTGTGTTTTTTTTTTTCAGGGTGGTATGTGTGTCGTGATGTGTTGGTGTGTTGGTGTTTCAGACGGGGAAAAAATTGTTAGAAAATAAAATTAGAATATTGACCATAACCAGTTGTAGATAAAGAGAATTCAAGAATTATTAATTAAATTAAAATTAGTTAAAGTCAAGTTTAAGTTGGCTCAGGTCGTGTGTGGGAGTTGTCAAAATTACAGTGATTATAAAAAAAATGTCAATATTTCTAGAATCTAATATTCGCAATAATGTCTATTTAGAAAAATAAAACTTTCAACACTTTGATTGTTTTTCCTTTTAAGAGAATCCATGCAACTGATAGATCACTGTACTCTTTACTGTACTAACTTAAAAGGGTCCTGCCTTATGTAATCTTTAATGTGAATAGCTTTCAATCTATTAAAAGCATCGCCAAGATGTTCTTAATACAGCTCTAATGTGCCTGTTCAATACTTTGTTAATTTATTTTTTTTAACACCAAAATTATAAGAAAATAAACTTATAGATTTTGAAGGGCTCTAGGCATAGGTACACCCAGACAATATGTCCCAATACAGGAAAAAGTATTATCAGGTAATTTTGTCAACATTTAGGCTCGAGAAAAATACGACTAGTATTTTGTTGACCTTTAAACACATCCATTGCTGTGTATATTTTAGGCAATTAAAAATAAAATTAAGAGTATGATAATATTTGTTTATCAATTAAACATAAAATATTAGTGGCTGTAAGAGCTTTGAATAGTACCATATACTTTATATTTTTCCTATCAGTCTATCAGAGATTATTTCGATCAGCCCCATCACCAGACAATTAAGCATACATCGAGAAGATCGTAATTAAGTTTCGATTATCATGTTACGTATGATGTTATGATTAGAGATTCACGACAACACGACATCGACATCGACACTATGAAAGCTACTTGAGATGCTTGCAGAAACTTAGGACTAGACTACACATGACACTAGACAACAGGTTGTTCCTGTGATGAGATAGAGAGGTGGTTGCAGGATGAACTCACCTTAGACTCGGACATCCAGACGGCGCCGCTCTGCTGCAGATCAATCGAGTCACGGAGCTTGCGGTACCAGGATTCCTCATCATTCAGCACAATCTGTGTGCTGAAGATGTGCGACCAGACGCGATCCAGTTTCTGGCACTGCTCGAGCAGTTTCTTGGAGCTCTTGTGCGCCGCCTTGGGCAGGCCATGGCGTAGCTGTTTGATCACGTGTTTGCTGTCCGTCTTGAGGAATATAACGATGGGATAGAATTGTGCATAGTTGAGCCGGTCGACAGCGTTGGGTGTTATGTCCAGCAGCGCATGCTTGCCACGATCCATAATGTCGCGTATGTGGGACAAGCGGACAATGCGGCATTTGCCGTTGCCGCTGCCGCTGCCATTGTTATTGCTGTTTGTCTTGTCATCATCCTGCAGCGGTGTGCTGAACTTATCTGGGAAGTCTTTGGCAAGCTTTTCCCTGGCCAGGTCAGAGACGGGACCGAATAGCACGAGGGGACGCACGAAGCCGGGATGACGCAGAACGACGCGCTCGTAAGCAGGAAACTTGGAAATGCTGTCCGAGAAGACGACATCGTCCCAGTTCTCGCGGGAGAGGCTCTTGGAGCGACGATGTGTGGAGCTGTTAAGAGATTGTGGGTATGGTATAATTAAGACAAGTCGCTCGGAAGCAGAGCAGGACTTACCGGCGACGTCTAAAGAAATTGCCCCGTGATTCGTTGGCATTCATTTCCTTTTTGGTGGCATTAAACTGAGCTGTAGCCAGCTCCTCGGCACGGGATTTGTTTGGTATTACACCACGCTGCATTTCCTGGTGGCCGCGTCCGATCTTGAGTACCTGCCACGAGCCGACGACGCCATTGTGCAGCGTGTCAATGACACGGAACACGTCGCCCGCCTTAAAGGCCATCTCGCCCTTGGAAGGATTGTCGCAGTGGAAATGGGTCTTGATGTGGAACGAGTCACCGCGCTGATTGGTCACCACTTCGTCGTACTCTTCCTTGCAGTACTGCACAATCAGATCGATGCGATCCTGAAGACTAAGCAAAAATAGCACCGCTTCCTCGCGCGTCACGCCGTGCATATCCATATCGTTCACTTTGAGTATCTTGTCGCCAGGCATGAGGCCTTGCAGCGAGGCTGGTGAGCCGGGCTGCACGGCGGTCACAAAGATGCCCGCCTCATTGCCGCCCGTCAGCCGAATGCCAACGCTGCCCTCCTTTTGGAATGAGATGAAACGCGGCTCGGCGCTCTGCCGCTCCTCGTACAGTTGTCGTCGCGAGCTGTAAAAGTCCTCTTGGGCGGCACGCGGTGGTGGCGGCCTTGGCGGCTCATCGACACGTCCACGCCCTCCATTGGTGGGGGTAACGGGCCTATCAAGTTGCTGCAGCGAGACACCGTCTATGAGCGGACCACGTGAGCGTCCGCGTGGCGTCAGGTTGCTCTTCTCCTCACTGAGTCCATTGCCATTGATGCTGGGCCCGTTGGAGGTGCGTGTTGGCGGCTGCACGTAAAGATTCTGTGAGGAGTAGCTGGCGCCACCGGGCAGATATGCATCATCCAGATTATTGCTGCAGCTGGAAACCTGTGCCTGATGTGTAGCATAAAGATTCGCATTTGCCTGCTGATGGCTCGAGTTGTTCAGTTGATTGACTGCCGCCGCCTGGTTGGTGATGTCGCGCAGCACAACCAGATTGAGACGCTCCTTGCAGCCATCGATGATCTTCTTGGCCTCCTTGAGGCTCATGTTATCCGCACAGTTGGTGTTGTGTATGCGCGTTATGATGTCGCCCTCCTGCAGAGAATAGCCATTGGCAGTAAGCTGGTCGCGCGCCTTCGTCGAGATTTCCTTGACGAACAGCCGACAACCCAGCACAATGCCGTAGTCGTCCTTCTTACTGCCCTTGGTCAGCGTCACCTTGATGGGCTGGGCACCGCTGCCCGCGTTCTGTACCAGCGAGGAGTTCAACGAGTTCGGCTGGCTCATGCTGGACATGGCGGCGCTGGGCGCCTGGCTGCTGGCCATGCCACTGCCATTGGTCAGTCCTAGGCCCACAGAGCTCATGCTGTGCGAGTGCTGATGCTGTGCGGGATTCGTTGCGGCCACATTCAGTGGAACGCGACGCTTCACGACCAGTGTGACCGTATTGCCACTGTCGCGCAACACCTGCACCGCGGTGGCATATTCCACATTCTCCAGCGAGACCCCATTCACAGTGATGATGCGATCGTTTACACTGAAAGTTCAAAAGAGAGAGTAAATTTAGAAGATAGGTTCAAGTAAATTAGAATAAAATGTGAATTATAATACATAAGAAGTTTGCCAATTTTACGATAAAGATAAATATATACAGTGGAGAGGGTAACCTGGAGAACATACAACTAAATACATACAATAGACCCTCAATCTATATATACAAAAGAGTTTGTGCGGAATGGCTGACTCAACGGTGATTAACGTAGGTCCCAAATCGTAAACTTCTCCGATGCTGAACTTTTCCTGTAGCTTTCTTTTGGATCGAAAGTAAGCACAAAGACGGAGATCTGTAAATTCAATCTGCTAGGGGGGGAAAGTGGTGTTCACATTTTGAATGATAAACAAAATACAGTACACAGCCAAACAAGCAAAAGACGCCGATTCAACTCCGGCAGAAATATTTACTTTTTTGCCTGTTTTGTTATTATTAAAAAAAAATATATATCACATTAAATTGGATTCCTTAAACGAATTGAATTTCACACTATTTTCTTAATATCTTATGATAATTATCAACAACCTGCATAATCTTACGTTTACATAAATATTCTATTAGCAAAGCCTTCTTTCATAGATATGTACATGTACATGGTCATATTTCATTCGTTCACTTCATTATCTATGCTACTATGCAAGGAATCAATAGAAAATAATCAGAGGTAAGCAAACGTTTTATGAATCATAGTTTAAGCTACCATGATTGTACTTGAAACATGTGTCGAACCTTTGGACCAACATAAGTCCAATTCGTGACTGGCTTTCGATATGGATTTGTGCTTACAACCAGTTGCGGGTCATTGGGAGGCAGCCTTGTCGTGGCAGCAGCCAATCTGAATCGGATCTTTATAAAGTCATTAGTCTATAAGCTACAATTAACGAAATCCACGGTAGCAAACGCTAAAAAGAACGCTTAAAGGCATAAATTGCTGGCTAATACGAGGCTGGCCAAGTGTGTAGAGTATAGCGAACGTCAATGGTGAATACTTCAATATCTGGTTACATGTTTTGCCACAGAGAAATCAGGTTATGCACGGATCGGACTCATACGCTAATAAACAGACAATTGTCTGTGCCTAACATGACTAGACACACGGCTTATGTACGGATAGAATATATCGTCAAATGAGCCGGTGCGTCTGGGCGAAACGGGCACAAAAACGGTAAAGAGAGCAAGAGAGAGAGAGAGAGAGAGAGAGAGAGAGAGAGGGAATGAGCGTGATATAGGGGCGTCTGAGCCGATTGCGTATTTCAAGGGAACAATACAGGCATATCTGTGCCTACTTTATATATAAGTACATGGTACTTCAGTTCTATATTAACAATTGCAAAACGTTCTTGGAACGGAACCTAAGAGTATGACACGGAAAAAAAGTCAAAACAAGAAAATGGGCCAATGGCGCGCCGATGATTAAATACGCTTACATGGATTACGAATATGTGCGAATAATAATCAGGCTCAATATTGCTAAGTTTGGTGTTAGATGTCTTTGAAAACCGATTAGTTTGCCAAACAAAAATCGCTTTTCACAAACTCTTTTTATAGAACTATATGATATAGTAGACTGAGAGTTCCAATTATGCGTTACACATTTTACAGTAAAGTTATAATACCTTCTACAAGGGTATAATAGAGTAAATAGTACATGACTATAGATAAATATATATAGATAAATATATATAAGCAATTGAGTGTGTGAGAGCAGAAAAATGATAATGATAATGATGGAAATTGCATGTCTGTGCCGACATAATTAACATGTCTAAGACGCGCATAAAGCGTCCATAGCCGCGCTGGAGGATCTGTGCCGCGTTTTACTTTCCGTTGACAGGCCAAAAGACTTCGGCTAAGCAATTAAGCTGTTTAAAAATGCGGCAAAAGAGAAGAGGAAGATGAAGAAGAGGAAAAAGAAGAAGCACCAGCAACAGCGGCAGCAGCAAAAAGCTGTTTGCAAGTAGATAGATGAAGCGCAGCTAAAGTATGTGCTGGGCAAACATTCCAGCTGAAATAACAGTGAAACTTCAGCTTGAGCTCACATCCAGGCGAGCAGCTCACATGTTTTGGCAGCTGAGGACCAGGCCAGAGCTGGTCCGCCTGTCAGCTAGCCAGCCGGCCGGCAAAGTCCGCTGCGGCCTTTTATGTTGCAGCTAATTTACACTTGTCGCCGCCGTACAAATATTTTAGAGCTATATTCTCGGGATTTTTCGTTTTTCTTTTACAATTGCTGCAATCCAGGCTGCCTGGCTGGCTGTCTGGTTGCCAGGTAGACAAACTCAAATTGTTCTTCACAGTGTAAATAGTTTCGTTGGAAAAAAGATTATGACAAGTTTTTAATCACACAAGCACAGAACGTCATTGAGCAGGTCGCTCTGCTTTGCCTCTCCTGCCGTTTGCCGTGTCGCCTCTATTGAAAACGCTTTGGAATTTTTATTATCAGCACACACCGCGGAAAAAAGAGCCAGAGGAGCTGTGGCAATTGTGCCTCAAAACCAAAAACGCATTTGGTTTAATTATACGAAGGCTCTCGCTACGTGATCTGAAGTTTTGAAGTTTTTTGGAATTTGTTGGGTTTTCTTTAATGTTCTAAGCAGAAGATTAACGATGTCAGCTGGGAGGTGCTCTGTCAATTGCTGGACTTATGAATTCAAGTTGTCGCATCGTGCTGAGCATTTTATATTAGATACTTCAATTTTTAAAGGAGGTTGCTTGAACCCAAGCATGTTAAAAACGATCAAAAATTTAAACCGATTTTAAATAAATATATACTTTTTTGTGGCGTAAATTTGTTTGCAATACAAGTGAAGCCCGAACATTTTTAAATATTATTCAATTTGCTGATTTACCAATAAAATCATCATCTACTGAGAACTGAGGGAACTTTGAGTACTCGTTTTGTACTTGCAGAATAGACCATCTGCAAACTAAGATACTTAATATTGATCTTCAATTTTCAATGAAAAACAAAAAATTGTTATCTGTTGCCTATTTAGAAATTAACATGAGCACTCGATGAATAGGAAATGCAAAGTTTGCCTTAGTTGTTTATGCAAAATAAGGTCTAAAATTGACTTAAAGTCGGGTTAGCATCATATAGGGGCACATTAAAAGCAAAGAAAGAGCATGTTAAACATTTCACAAACAATACTTAATTTCCTGCCACGACAGCGACAACAGCTGACACATCAGAATCGGACTTGTAAGTACGTAATTATCAGCAGCTGGCGGGCTCGAATACTCCCATATGATATTTGCCAAGTCATTTTGGGTTGGTGTAGTTACATAGATATACATATTTAGATTTATGTACTTACTGCAAACGATCCTCGGCTGGTCCACCTTTGAGCACATCGCTGACTGCAATCGAGGGATCCCCATTGGCAAAGTGGGGATTATCACGTCCACCGGAAACGGCAATGCCAAACCCGTAGCCGGGCACTCGAGTCACCGAAACTGTGTGATACTCCCATGTGGTGCGATCGCCCTGCAAAGGCAAAACAAGAAAACATTGGGAATTGAAAAGGTATTGTAATAAAAAAAATAAAAATATGTGTGAATGCAAAAGAGAAATGAGGAATACGGCGATTTTCTCTCTCTCTTTCTCTCTCTCTCTCTCTTTCTTTTTTCATTAATTTATTTAAATAAATTTTAATTGAAATTTGTTAAGGATGGGCGCCGAACGTTGCAACGAAATATGCTTACGAGGCGGAAGTGCACATATGTGACTTCCGTTTTACAATTTACACAGGCACGTTTGAGTCAGAATATATTACATTTAATTTTAAGACCCGACAGATTTTATGGCTAATAGAAAAATTGCTAAAAAGGGTACATTCTCTTGTGGTTGTTTTAGGCTTATGCTGTGAATAGTCAAAAAAAAACATTCATGATTAACTCAGGTTAGAAAACTTCTAGCAAAAAAACTAAAACTCTTGTTTGCTTTCAGTGAAATATATACCAGGTTATATAGTATGCACAATAAATAACAATAAATATGAAAATAGAGAATTTTAATAAAAATTGTACGCGTGATTTTGCCGTTCGTATGATAAAGATAAATACTCGTATTCATTGACACTCTACACACTATATAGAATTGGCTTTGACTTGACTTTCTCTTTGTTGAAACTTGATTATGTCTGTTCAATAAAAATTATATTTTCAATGCACTCATGCAGACATTTAATATACTCATTTCAACAAAATTTAGTTTAGTGTTTTACAAAAAATGTTACAGCAACACCTGCCATGACGAATTAATTGATTTTGACTTAGCGACTCGTAAATTCCATTTACACTCGCTGCGGGTGGCATCCTGTTTTGTCGATTCTATATGCGATCCACAACCCTGAAAGCCATCAGACAGCTATTTGTCGGAGTTGGCCAGGCAAGTCAATTAGATCTCAATCAGTACACAAATCCAATAATACAAAAATAAATCAATTAAAAAAAAAGTCCCATTGAGTTGTTGTTGAGTTGCCCAATGGCAATCATTCGGTTGCATTCACTCTGATTCACTGCAATCAATTTTAAGTCTCTCTGCCAGAGTGCCAATCCCTCATTCCAAACCAAGCGAAAGCCATGCACTAAACTCAGAGGTGGGCGCCAAGAAAAAAACAAAAAATTTATTATAAATAAATAGCGTTACGAGTAGTCGCATCCAATTTCGAAACCCCATTTGCAACCAGTTGCCAAGAAACAAAAAAACCAAAAAAAAAAAAAAAACAAATATTATATTTTCACGTGGGCTGCGCTAGACGTGTGCCTAAATGAAAATAAAAAACTTGATGCCATAACAAAAATTAACTAAAAAAGAATTTGTTGGGCTCAGCCAAGCGCTCGCGTGGGCATGCAAAGTTATAAATATTTAGTTTTTATTAAGTTTGCAGGTGTAGATTTTAGATGCAATGTGCCCTCCCCGCTCCCCTGAAATGGGACTTATCCTTAAATTAGCATAACACGCATTTGTTTCAACTATGTATTAAGGTTTCTTTTTTTTCTGCATTCAAATGTTATGCTTGGCTTGTCTGATAAACAAAAAAAAAGGAAAGATTTATATAGATTTATTCATGCACACATATGGCAGGTACTCTCATATGGTGACCGAGTTCCGCGTCAAGCGGAGCGGGGCGATGAAATTAAAATTAACTTAATTGCAAGTGAAATTAGCCTGAAGTTTAATGATGTGCTCTAAAATGAAGGCGTGCGGAAAACTCGACTGGTTTGAGAGGAGCGAGGGGGTGTTGTTCGGCTGAAATTATACTTTCTTTGTAGTTTTGTTTATGCGAGCATTTTATTGGGGATCAGCTCATTTCATTGAAGTATTTCAATGTAATTTATTATTCATATGGTACGCGTGTCAAGCGAAAGCATAGCTCTAATGAGACAGCTAAGAGATTTATGACTTCTCATGTGCGCATAAAATATTTAATTCGCAATATTTCCATAAAATCAAGACTTTGTGCGATACAAATCGAAGCTATGCTTAGTTTTAAGGAAAATAGAAAACTTAGAAGCTTGGCTAAGGAACTCACTCGATTTACACAAAAAGAGGTGCATTCAATAACTGCAACTTCGAAAAATAGAAAACAAGTAACATTGCGAATATTTATTTGATCTGAACACTTGTGGACTCAAAAATATATTTATATATTTCTTTTAAGCTTTACAATAGGTTGTTTCTAAAATATTTGGAGCGAGCATGAAAATTCCTTGAATTTCTAAATGACAGTCAATATTAATTTTACCCAACTTTAATTCCGTTTTCTGCCTGCTTAATGACCTAATATTTAAACTGAAATACCAGTCCTATCTTAAGTTCACATCGGTCAGCAATTATGTAAACAAGTAAAAACTGCCTTTGGTTTCCCATACGAGGGAGTTCTACCAGTTTAAAGCTCTTTTAAAATTCCAAGCGCCAACTTTTATGTAACTCAACCTTCATAAAAATAACTCTGATGGTTTAACTGGGCATGGCTGGGTTTTTTTTTCATCTTTTCAGACGCAACAACTTGATTTATAGAGCATTTAATTTTGGCTAACGAATTAAATTATAAGGAAACACTACACACACACAGGCACATACTTAGGTTAGGGGTTTTGGTCTTAACACTTGTTTTTGTTTTGCAGTTGCTTACCAACATGTTGTTTGGCACATAATCCGGAAACTTCATTGTAAATTTGTGATAATGTTTTTGTGGAAAATGGAAATGTTTTTCATACAATTTACACACTTTGAGCCAGTCAAAGTAATTAACTGAAGCATTTAATTTTTAATTGTGCGGCATATTTATTTGGCTTTTGCTTATGTTTCACTTGTTGACTTAGCGATAAAAGCCCAGATATGAATACACGCAAATAGGCACTAGAAGAAACGAAACCAAAACAAAATATTGTATGCATAACAAATGAACACATCGAACCAGACGCGCGACGAAATAGGTAAATAAAATAAAAATAATAACAGGTAAATAAAAACCGAAATCAAATTGATTCAAAATCAAGAGTGTACAACAGCAGCCAAAGCTGATGTCACTTTCAATTGTTATAAGTATGAAGTACGGGCACAAAATATTGCATAATTAATTGCACTTTGTCGCTGAGCTAATGATTTATAAATAAACTTTAGACTAGCTGCAGCTCACAGTTAACTTCCAGACGAAGCACTAAATTTATTCAGGAATTTTTAACAGCATATGGCGACCGGCGACTTGTATTTGCATATTATTTTATGGTGAATATCTCAATACGCGTCATCCGGTAGCGCACAGATACGAAGTGGCTTGTTGTTGTCTTTTTCGGCTGTTTAACATAAATTTATATTTATATATATACATATTTTTCTTTTTGTGATTTGCGTTTAGGGGTGTTGGCTGTGGTCAGCCAAGGTGGCTTTAATTAACACAGACGCATGAAATTACATGCTAATTGCTGCTCGCACGCACTTTAAGATACTTTTTACGACAAGTATCTCGAATGTGATCGCATCTACTTTTAATGAAAGCAACTGCATTGTCTTCTAAGGTACACTTTGAGGGAACACACACAACAGTACGAAAAGCCAATGACCGAATAGCTTTGCAAATTTGGAGCGCAGTTGCAAGTATCTGTTGGATGCACCGAAAGTGAAATGCTCGCGCCTTGCAGCTGCGCTTCACTGGACACCGCTGCAGCGCTGTAGTGAGTAATCCGCTGGGTTCACATAAGCTTTAACGTTCGATTAGCATTTGAATTGTATATTGAATGGTTCGGAGTTGCTATTTGGGCAGCTGGCCAACTAATTAACATTTACATGTCACAGATGTAGCTCTACTAGCTAGGTATTTGCGCTCGTACGAGTATCTTACAGATACCTCGCGTCGTTGTCGCTTGCGCCGTCGCAGTCCGCTCGCGGCAACCGTTGACGTTGACGGCTTGAAACACGCTTCGAAACTATTTTACAATTGTGGATGGCAGTCGCCGTCCACCAGTCACAAGATCCAAAACCGGAGAGCGAAGCGAAGCAACAGACGACGCTGATAAAGGCGAAGCACAAAACAAACAGGCGAATAAGGCCATACAAAGCGAGCGGCGTGCAGTAGCTGCTGCTGCTTGACAGAGTCGACAGACTCGACAGACTCGTGTATCTGTGAAGTTGTGCTGCCCTATCTGTTAGATGCATTTGTATCGGTGTGTGCATGTATGTATGTTCGGCCCGCTTGTTCATTGAGGCCGGAAAGCGGCAGCGAACACAAAAATGTAAACAAAGCGACGAAAGTAAACAGAGCAATATTTGATAAAGCTGTGTATAAAAGAGATTTTCAGATTGTTTGCCGTGTCGTGCCGTGGAACCTAACGCTGTGGAACCTACACAGGTACATACATACATAGCTAAGAGCTTGGAATTCATAAGGAATGCTTTAAACAAGAGGTTCCTTGTGAAATGCGTAGACAAAAAAGAACAGTCGCCTGTCTTTTGTGCTTCCTCTTTGAACTGATGAAGATGGAATATGAAATTTCATCATAAACTGAAATGCAGATCAATGAAATTGTGTTTTGTATCTAAGGAAACAATGTCTACCCAAATTGAATGAGCTTTTCTGCCAGATTTAATAGACTAATTTGCATTTAATGAATAAAAGAGTATATTTACCTTACTATAATATAATCATAATGGTAATCAAATCAATAAAAATAACACGAAAAAACAAAAAAAAAAATCAATAATAGAAAACTTAATACAAATTTCGATAAACATTCTGAAGAAAATATTAAAGTTGATTTTTAATACCCAACTACAATTTAACTAATGCATTTAAATGCTGTTTTGTGCCATGTTGAAAACCTTCAAGACACATACATTACAACGGATGCATCTGAACAAATGCAATTTCTGAGATTAAATGGTGAATGGAAAAGCACTTGAAGAGGCAAAAGTTGAAAAGTTCACAGCTTGATGCGCATTAAATGGCAACTTCAATTCAATTAAGCGCCCGCACCGATCCG